TGTAAAGGCCAAAAGTCCTTCTCCCTCTTTTCTTCCAAGTTCTAAGTTGTAAAGAGAGGAGAGGAGAGAAAATTCTGTAAGGGTTGTCTCCTAAGCCCGTCAAAAGGAGTGAAACTATAAAAGGGTGGTTGGCCTTCGCCTATTGAAGGAAGGCCTTTAGTTGACGTCGGTGACCTCGTCGGTGGAGGAAGCCAAAAGGTGGAGTAGGTCAAGATTGACCAAACCACTCTAAATCTCGGTTTGCATTTACTTTGAGCATTTTATCTTTATTGCAAACCTCCTCTAAAGCTTACTGCTTTCTGCGCATATACGATCGGGTTTCAGCTTTGCACTTTCCGAATCAACGTTTAGACGTAAATCCGTTTTTTTTTGTACGATCATCATATTTCAGTTTGCGTTTACGTTTTGATTTCTATCTTAACTGCAAACTACCTTAATATCCTTGCTTAAGCTGCATCTCGCCTAATCAAGTGATTTACGAATCAACATTTAGACGTAAATTAGTTTCTTCGTACGAACGTCACATTTCAGTTTGCGCTCGTATGTTGGTTTACATTATAATTGCAAACTGCCTTCATAGATTGACTTTAACGTCATCTCACTTGATCTTAAGTTAAAGTAATCTTAGAATCGGCTTTCACACCCAAATCGTTTTTATCGTTCGAACGTTTTTATCGTCGAAAGATTTCCGCTGCACTAATTCCACCCCCCCCCCCCCCCTCTTAGTGCTCTTGATCCTAACAGCGTCAAAGGATTGGACGAAGTGCCGATGAACTAATGACATTTTGGACAAAGGATTCATGCTTTGTAATTATTTATCTAAAATTGAAGTAGTTTCGGGGGCTAATTGAGTTAGATTTTTATATAATCATGCTAACTCAATTAGAGGCCAATTGGGCCTAAATTAGGACTAATTTGGGCTCATTAAGAGGCCCATTCAGTGACCCAAAAGTTGGGTCAAGCGGTGGCACCGCTAGAACAGGCGGTGGAACTACTTGTAAGTTGGAAAACTAAAAAAACTCACTCTTCAAGGCTGTCAAGTAGTGGTACCGCCAGACTAGGTGGTGGTACCGCCTAGTGACAGTGTGTCAGGAGGTAGTACCGCCTAGTGTCAAGCTACAAGCGGTGGTACTGCCCGTACCCCGAAATCTTGGAGATTTGAATTTTGTGCTCCAAATTTGAATCCATTTGGGGCCTATAAATACCCCACTCTTTCCTACTTGGTAAAGCAAGAAAGTGAGTTAAAAAGGGGAAAAGAATCCTTGAGTAAAAATAATAATATCTCTTGAAGAGTAGAGTCCCTTCTTCCTAGTATTTAGAAAGTTGTTATAAAGGTAGTGTTGAATCTCCGATTTTGATGATGAAACTAATTGATTGTGTTTAGATGTTTAACTGCATTTTGAGTGATGCAGGTCTACTCGATCAGGTTTAGACAGTTAACGCAAGAGGAATTGACGTTGTGCCGAAGGATATCACGTTAGGATATTGGATGGCAGAAGGCTTCGGATGTCGGGCATCGGGCCAAGAGCGGAATTGCGCCAAGGATATCAGGGTTACAGAGGTCAACCGCCGATTGGGCAACAAGCCGCAAGAGAGGACGATGCGCCGAAGAATCAAACGAAGCGCCAACCAATGACGTGCCGGGTAATAGAATGTCAATTCGCTTTGTAATAATTGTCTAGATCGGAGTCGAGTTTTGGCTTGTGTGTGCAGAATTAACTACGATAACGACGAAGACATAAAGCGAAACAAAGTGTCGGAGTCAAGCGCGAAGGATTTGTTGTGAGTTCGAGAGTTCGACAAAAGTCCGAAGGTTCGTCGGGAATGCTGCCGGAACTAGCCGAGAATGAGTAGGGAGCTTGCCGAAGGGTTTTTCGGAAGCTCGCCGGAAGGTTCGTTGGAAGTTCGCGGAGTTCGCCGAGAAAGATCGGAGCTTGCTGAAGAAGCTCATTGGAACTCGTCAAGATCAAATCGTGAAGTCTAGGAGCTTGCCGGGAGTCCATAGAATGGTTTTCGAGAGTTCGTCGGAAGACCGTCGGAAGTTCGCCGAAAAAAGTCTTGACTTGTGGACTTTGTAATAGCTTAGAAAATATCTTTAAATTTATATTTAGCACGTTAATTAGGGTTAGGATTAGGTGTTAATCCTATAACTCAAGTAGGGGCCAATTGGGCCCGAGTTCGGACTGGTTTGGGCCAAGTTTGGAGCCCAACTAGTGAGCTAAAATAGTGTCGGCGGTGGCATTGCCTAGAACCCGAGAACCAAGCGGTGGCACCGCTAGACTGAGTGGTGGCACCGCCCAGCACCCGAGAGGTCCGGCGGTGGCACCGCCGGACTGGGCGTTGGCACCGCCAGTACATTGTTAGTGTCAGACACTGACAAGCGGTGGCACCGCCACTGACAGGCAGTGGCACCGCCAGCATCGGGAACTAAAGAGAATTCAAATTTTGGAGCCCAAATTTGAATCCTCTTGAGGCCTATAAATACCCCTCAATTCTCAGCTGAGATAACAATTTTTTGAGAAGCAATAGATTGATAAAAATGTCTTAGAAAAGTCTTAGCAAGTCTTGTTTTCAATTTGTTAGAGTATTCACCTCCTTCTTTCTTGCTGAAAATTTGTAAGAGTGTGAACCGCTTGTAAAAGGTTGTAAGAGGGGTATTTGTCATTTCCCTTCAAGAGATTTGCTAGTGGAAGGTGGGAGCCTCATCGAAGAGGGCCTTGCAAGTGGATGTAGGTCATTTGACCGAATCACTTTAAAATTGGCGTGATCTCTGGTTTGCATTTTCTTATTGCTATTTACATTACTGCAAACATTCTTACATGCTTTATTTCCTCATTACCTTTGCTGCACACCTTTATGAACACGCGTTCAAGTTAAGCTTTTCAAGTTTGATTTTTATCGTACGAAAGATTTAATCCGCTCCACTAATTCACCCGCTCCCTCTTAGTGTCGCTCCGATCCTAACATGTAGAAGAGAGGTCTAGGTCTGAAAGAGAGGTGTAAAGGTTCTCTCCTGAGCCTGTCAAAAGGAAAATAGAGTTGTAAGAGGATATTTGATCTTCGTCCATTTAAGGATAACCGGTAGTGAAAGCCGGTGGCCTCGACGGAAGAGGAATCGAGAGTGGATGTAGGTCACGATGACCAAACCACTATAAAACTCGGTTTGTATTTTTATTTGTGCAATTTACCTTTACTACAAACTGTCTTACTTGCTTTACTTTCTCATTACACACTTCTATATGCTTTCAAATTAAATACATTTCCAATATCGATTTTATCAAAACAAAGATTTTTCAAAACCGACATTTTTATCCACTGCACTAATTCACCCCCCTCTCTTAGTGCCAACTTGATCCTAACATTTGGTATCAGGGCCATGTTTTTTCTTGTTTGGTTTAACACCTAAGAGAAATGACTCTTTTCAGTTTTCAAAAGGGTCACTCTATTATTCGTCCTCCTATGTTCAATGGGACGTACTATACATATTGAAAAACTCAAATGAGAGTTTTCTTGCTTTCTTTAGATTTAAATTTATGAAATGTTATCGAAAGAGATTTTCAAAAGTCTTCTGCTCCAATGAACGAATGGAATGATTTGGAAAAGAAAATATTTTCTTTGAATGCAAGAGCTATGAATGCTCTATTTTGTGCTTTGAGCAAAAATGAATTTAATCATATTTATTTATGCAAAACTGTATATGAGATTTGGCACACACTAGAAGTAACTCATAAAGGCACGAATAGAGTAAAAGAGTCTATAATAAGTCTTTTGATACATGATTTTGAATTATTTCAAATAGAACCAAGTGAAACTATTATTGACATGTATACTCATTTTACGGATGTCGTCAATAGTTTAAAAGTATTTAGTAAATCTTTTTCTAATCTTGAACTTGTAAACAAGATTCTAAGATCTCTTTCTAAAAATTAGGATCTGAATGTAACCGCAATACAAGAAGCGAAGGATTTGAACTATTTTTCACTTGATAAACTTATTGGGTCTTTAATGACCTATGAAATAACTTATGTAGCACATGACGAATTTGAAAACAATCTTCCAAAGAACATAAAAGATTTGACACTTATAACAAATGAAGACCAAGCTCAAGTGATGATGATTTTGAACTCTTAACAATAAAGCTTAAAAAGTTCATGAAACAAGAATCAAAGAATAAAAACAAACTTAAAAAGAACACAACTACTTGCTATGAACGTAAGAAGCCAGGGCACTCCAAAGACGAGTATATAAAACTGAAGAAGAAGTTGCCAAAGAAAAAGGAAGCATTTAAGGATGAATCGAGTACATCCGAAGACGAGGAGCAAACCAACAAGGGCAAGGTGGAGAATTAAACTTTGACAGCTTTCATCAACAAGGTAAGCAACTCAATCGAATCTCTTTTTCCTTACCATGAAATTACTTAGTGCTTTTCATGGTTAGTTATATATATATATATATATATATATAATGACAATTGCATATTTTGTAATAATACTTGCACATCAAATAAGATTAGTTCCCTGTATGTTATAAG